TTTTCGAAATTTTATTACTATTTTATAACTAAATTTGTTTCTTAAGATGCAGTTTCTAATTATAAATATTTTCTCGTATTTAAAAAACACTTACCTTGGTGGGATCGAACTCGGGACCTCTGGATCGTGAGCCAACTGCCTTACGTGGTAGACTACTTCTTAATTTGATGTAAGTGTTATATATAGTCTACATGTGTTATAACCAGCGCAAATATATAATTTTTCAAAAATCATCTTAAGAAACAAATTCAGTTTAAAAAGAGTAATAAAATTTTGAATTGAATATTAAAATGATATCCTCAGTACTATTTCAAAACTTGTACACTTTTATCACGACGAATTAGTACAGACCTTCATATAAAATGTATTTATGCCTTACTTTTATCTTTTTTCCTTAATATCAGGAATTACCCATTATAATGTTTCTATACAAATTGTAGTACTGGTCAGTAATTAATTTCACATGGAATATTCAGTTCAGTACTTGAGTATTAATATTAAAATACTGGCCAGTGATTTATTACACATGGAATCCTTGGTTCAATACTTCAGTACTAACATTGAAATACTCATCAGTAATTCAACAAGTATTTATTACACAAGTATTTTTCACCTAGTATTAAATGCTTTCTCATTAGAAATTTAATACTAAGTATTCAATACTCGTCCTGTATTAAATACTACTTTCATAAATTACTGACCAGTAATAAAATACTATGCAATATTTGGATCACAATGATTCAAGTACTAATAAATACTTAATTTTAGTATTATTAATACACAAAATAAGTATTTATTACTAACCAGCTAGTAATACTTTTTTGTAAGGGATTGAAATACAAGGAACAGAATATTCAACGTATAGTTGTTCCATAATATGATAAATATCAAGAGACACGATAGTGTTTCGCGCCAAGTACACGCGAAGTAAATATTTCGTGATAGATGTAATTAAACTGGCTGACACATACGGCCTTGATATTTGTTTTCATAACATTCGCTACGCGCTATCGTGTCACAAACCATCATGTATTGTTATTCGCATGGCGAAATTCAAGTCTCAGCGAAGGACAACGACTTTGTTTACCGTTACTTATATTATTTCTTAAAACACGCGATTATTTTCTGCAAGTTATTAATTCCTATCAGCTCACTATTAATTAACTCTCTTGATTAATGACTATAAATGTATTGGCTATATTTATATTTATCGAGGTATTTCACGTAAATTTATATATTTCGCGCAGCGATAGAAGATGAGAAACATAAATTATTATTTTATTACGACGTTCATACAAGTGACAATTACTTTTTTGAAGCTTAAATTTTAATGCATCTCGTTTTGTGTTTCGAACTTTTCGTCGATTTAAGTGTAATCTATGCAACATTTTGGATAGAGGGTGCAGAGTAATATGCAGATCGCCGGATCGAGTAATTAAAGTAACGGAAAGCATTAATATATTAGATTTTTTATTAGATTTTTGCATTTGAGTATATTGCGCACCCAATGTTAGATTTTTATTTCATATTTTCGGATGATTAATCATTAACTTATTAATCACATCATTATGTATTACATTAAAATGTCAACATTATTTTCGAATTTTTTTCGTCATAAATGAAAGACGTATATGAAACGCGAATTATGTAACATTACGATACGTTTAATCAATAAGTACAATTATAATTAAACCTGTATTTTAATATTTCAGAGTGTATACACATTGTGGTTTAACAAATTCTTTTATTATTTCAGATTTTGTTCTGCTGATTTGTGTGACTCGTAGATATCAAGCGGATTGGAGACTTTCGTATTTTCTTCGAGCTATATGTTGTGAGGGTAACGGATGAATTTGAAGAGGGAGGCCCGAGAGGCATAGGACGACGGCGGAGCAACCATGGAGTGAGTAAATACAACATCTTGTAGAAATTTATTACCTTAAAATAGATGATCTAAGATAAATTAACACAGATATGTTTAATCTCAAAATAATATAATTACCGGGTCAATCTTCAATCTCGAATATTTTATGCATAAATTGTTAAACACATTAATAAGATATTTAAAGAAATTGTAATGAAATTGAAGTCAAGAACTATGAAGATATAATATACTAATAGTTATATTTTGTTAAATCTTTCTTATCACGAAATAAATTATAATGGATCCAATTTTCAAGTTTGTCACTCAAATAGTTAACAAAAACAAGAAAAGATAAAAAGAAATAAAATAAATGTGTGACAAGAGTAGAATACTATCATATATTAATCGTGTCATTTTATTTATTTATTTTTTTTACAAATATTCTTTTTATTAGAATTTGTAATATATATATATTTAATCTTTATATATATTTCTAAGATCAAATATTATGTAAATTAGTTGGTAAAAGCAATATTTAGAATATTCTTGATTCCGAATTATAATAATATAAATTTATAATTAAAAAGCGAACAAAAAATATTTTACCATTAAATAGACATTTTAATTTATTTTATCAAATATTTTAACTAATTTATTTAATAAAAAAACACATAATTATCAGCAATTTATTCTTGTAACTGGTAACAAATAAATCAGTTTATTCTATAATCATAACTTATTCATTCTTATTAATAAATTGATTTCATATCATTCAAAATAAAGATGTTTAATATTTAATAATCATCTTATTGCATTTTGCATATTGTGGAATATTTTACAACTGTTCTGCAACATTTTGATGGCTTCAAATAATTCATAGGACTACAACACTGTGCTTTTCATAATTAGTTGAGGACATACACAATTATTAATCAAAATGCAATTACTGAATCGACCATATCTCAAGACAACTTTGCTGTGATGATTAATAAAATGATGATTAATAAAAAGGTTTTAACTTCAAGGTTGCATTTATAGAAGTCGATAATGATGATTAACAAAACTTATTTATCATGAATATCTCAACTGCCTTTTTCATACAAGATTTATATATAATGGTCATAAAATACAAGCCTCCCTCATTTTATTCGATTTGAAATGAACGAAATATTTGAGTACAACAGATTACTTTGAAAGCGTGACTCCGTTTTCTTTAAAATGACTCATCGTTATCATATTTTTATGTGATTATATTATTTAACTTGGTCCTTGGTTATAATCCTAATATTGCTCAAAAAGATTCCGAAAGCGATAAAATGGTGTAACAAGAAATTAAGTGCGACTCGATTAATGAATAAGGCGTAGACAAAATAACGCGATTAATTACTCACGTTGAGGATGAAGTTGGAACGACGCCAATCGCGCACTCCCGCACAATTAATTTCCCACGCGATTACGAATACGACGACACAAATTTTGTACGAAGCACTTGTTTCGCGTTATCGTCGCGTTAAAGAGTATACGAGTGCTTCGTATAATGTTTCATTTATCGTACGATAAATTTTTAAACGTATTGATTAGCTACAAGATAGAGGATTTCTAGAAACTCTCTATCCTACAGTCAATTAACATACTTAAAAAATTTGTCGTTCGATACATGAAATATTAGCCTTACGCACATTCGATTTGAATTTTATCCATCTTATTCCATCGCGTCGTGGTTCGCCCTTTGCGTAGCAGAGTACGCTACTTACTACTTTGCGATTTCCTCGACGTCGGTAACTCAGATTTGTCCGCGGATATATTATCGACTTCTATAAATGCAACCTTGAAGTTAAAACCTTTTTATTAATCATCGTTAATCTCTAGTTGTTAATAGTTGTCTATAAGTATCTAGTTGTTAATAATAGGTAAAGAAAAGTAATTATACATACTGGAATGAGTAATCTATTGTAGAGTCTTATACAAAATAGAAGCGTGACCGGTATAACGGCTGCCAATTGGCTCCGCCATTTTCTCTACACACAGTGGCAGGACTTCTTCCTGCTTTGAATAAAGAATAAATATATAACTCTTTATATGCATAAATGTGATCTATGCATCTGTGAAATTATAAAATATAACAATAAATGTTGTATACCTGTGGATGCTCAACTGATGGTATGGTCAAGATCGTATTCTTCAGATTTTTCCAACAGATAGTATCTTAAAGATGAAGTATAGGGCTAAAATTTAAGGAATAAAGAATATCTCAATTATCTGCTGTATGTAAAGTCAATTAAATTCGATGTTACCTTTTACATACATAAATTCCTTATTCATAAAGAATAAAAATGTCAATTTTTAGGTTTTTATTTGTGTCATTTTATTAATTTTTTTTACAAATATTTTAACAATAGAAAAAAAAATACAGGTTTGGCAGTGAACGCAAAATTTAAACAAACAGTTTACTGTTATACACTTTCAAAAATGGCTTTTGATTAAAATCGGCAGATATTTTGCCGATTTTAATTTTCCTTTTCACTGAGTCATTATATGTATACATCCTTCCGCTACGCTTTTTTTCTTATAAGAGCATAGATATGTGAAATATATAGATCATAGACCCCTGCGCTCTTCTGCATTGGTGTCACAATCATGGTGGAAAGAAACAAGGTGTGCTGAGTGTGCTCGTTTAGAGAGATATGCGCAGTCGTCGCGACTGAAATCTATCTTTATTGATGTATATATAGTGGAGACAGCTCCTGATGATAGTATAGTTCTAGCTGTTAACCGAAGTGAACCGTTTCCAAAAATGAGTGATTCCAAAGAAGAATTACTATTATCTTGAAAAACTGCAAAATGGTATGTTGGAAAGTGTCTGCGTCATTATTCTGCTCATCCTATTAATACCAATATGATATTTTAGGGAGTCATACAATTATACTTAATGAGGAAGTATCCACAAAAATGTTTTAATGTACGCGAATGATAATAAAAACTTTTGATTATATTTTACCTAAGGTTTTAAACAAAATTAACAAAACATGGTGCAATTGTCAAGCTAGGCTAATTCTTTATGATGGACGATTTTCTATAGTTGATGAAAGTGTAGAAATAGAAAATTTTCTTTCTTGACGCTCTTATCGCAGGTATATGTGGCGATCGGGGCCTAAACAGTTGGGCACTGTTCTAGTGAGCCAAAGATCCCCGAGATGCGAGTTCAAATCCGACCGAAAATTGTCGGTTTTTATCGGATTGTTACCTCTCACTTGCTTCACTTCTTCTTCAAACATGGTACGGACCAATGTCGGAAGGCAGAGAGTATCTTGACACTTCAATCAACTACAGAAAATCGTTCATCATGAAGAATTGGCCTAGCTTGACAATTGCACCATGTTTTGTTAATTTTGTTTAAAACCTTGGATAAAATATAATCAAAAGTTTTTATTGTCATTTGCGTACATTAAAAAATTTTTGTAGATACTTCCTCAAGTCATTGTATAAATAATGACTCCCTATATAGAATATTATTTGGTATTAATAGGATAAGCAGAATATTGACGCAGACACTTTCCAACATACCATTTTGCAGTTTTTCAAGATAATAGTAATTCTTCTTCGGAATCACTCATTTTTGGAAACGGTTTACCTCGGTTAACAGCTAGAACTATACTATCATCACAGGAGCTATCTCCAATGAAGTGTTCGACCGTTAGGTCGATAGGTTGCTTATCTCTTGTCGCTTGTGCTGAATCTATACGTATCAAGAATTAATTGAGTACAATAAAAGCTTGTGTTTTTTTATGATTAAAACAATTAAAAAATTAAAATGCCTGTTGTGTGCCTATGATTTATTTTGCACCAATTTTGCGCAATCCTTTATATAATACAAACAAAGAAGAATGTTCTGTGTTTTGTTTTCAATGTACCGACATGGATGTGACAATCTGATGTTACACATTTTTTACATTGTTAATCTGCGAATTACAAGACAATATTAATGATTATTTTACACACCATGTACAAATGAAATATTTTAATTAAATAAAATTGTTAAACGCATGTGTATGAATATCAATTGGCTTAGCAAAGAGAAAATCTTCATATTTCTCATACTACATCTTAATCACGTGTTCTCAGGTAGCGGAGATATAATGAGTCAATCGGGCTTTCAGGATGATGGCGAGTATGAAGTCATCATAGTCGACGAAAATAATTCTTCGATTTTGGCCGATCACGACGTCACATTGTCCGGTCCGCCGTCGACTAAGGTAAGTTAACTTTGTTTGAAAAGTTGCAATTATCCGAAATTTCAATACTGATCTGAAAAGAGCAACGGACACTTGTCCCCTACCGAACAAATTCGAAAGAAGTGAACACACCGAGAATAATTATAAATGTCAGGTAAAAGTTTTGTAAAGTCCGTCGTATGAAACGCAATCTGATAGTGACAACATAGTTTGACAGGGTGTCCAGCGGTCATGGAAACTTGTAAGATTTCCATGACCGCTATATACACTTTTTTAGATAAAAAAAGGACAGAAAATATCATGGAAAAGTCATGGAATTTTGTGATTTCTGGGAATTTTGTTAATTTCTTAAAAAATGACATTTTTTGCCCTTTTTTTATCTAAAGAAGTGGAAATCTTCCAGGTTTCCATGACCGCTACGGCTAGACACCCTGTTTGATTATTTGGTATAAAAACGGGATGGTTTTACGAAGTTATAACAATTTTCTATACTTGAGACTGCATGCATGCATTTCGATAGATCGAGAACGTAGATACGGAGATTCGATGTTTCAATCTGTCGCTTTGTACAACTCTACGTAGCGAGTACGATATGCGGGTCTTTCTAAACCTCCGTTTTCTTCTAATACTGTCCTGAGTACCTTTCTCTTTATGCTCGATAGTTTCAAATGATATTCATAGCAACGAAACTTTAGCACTCTTCTACAGATCACGCATGATCTTATGAGGTATTCACGCAGTAATGACCAGATACTTGTGCTATCGCACAATGCTTTACACTGATTTATTACGTGTATTGTTTGTCGAGCGAAATTTTGTGAAGTTAGCACCCCATCTTTTAAAAAATTATTTTTTTTCTTCAAGTTCTTTAATATTACAAATAGTTTCGGCGAATAAAGCTAAAAACTGTTGATGAATTTTGGGGGTGCTAACTTCACAAAATGAAATCACTAAATCAGCGATAACAATAAAAGTATTAAAAATATTTAATTTTACCATTAGGATTTATTTTAGAACTCTTGAGGTGCTACCCAGAACTCTCAACAGAACTCCCAGAACTTAAAAAATTTTTTTTTTTATTTTACTCAAAAACGGAAAATATCGAGAACTTTTTATATATCAGTCGTAGCGCTTCGAACATTAATAGTTTTTGGTAGAACTCGTGAGGTGCTACCCAGAACTCTATAATAAAATTGCCCGGTTTACGAAAAAGAAATTTTATTCTTCGGAACTTCGAAATTTTTCGACCCGACATACGAAAAATCGCGAGAACTTTTTATATGTATATCGGTCGTAGCGCCTCGAACATTAATAGTTTTTGGTAGAACTTGTGAGATACTACTCAGAACTCTGATAAAATTTTCCGGTTTACGAAAAAAAAATTTTATCCTTTAAAACTTAGAAATTTTTCTGATTAAATTACTAGGTTTATACTATAATAAAGTATTCTTTAATGAGGTTACTTTTTTAGTTATGGAGCTTGACAGTTACTGTATTACCGCCGGCATTAGAATTAACCAAGGTGTTTTCATTAATAATTTTTTAATTTTAAGTTTCTAAGTTTCTTCAGTTCAAAAATTTCTAACAATAAGTTCCGAAGAATAAAATTTTTTTTTTGTAAACTGGACAATTTTATTAGAGTTCTGGGTAGCACCTCACGAGTTCTACCAAAAACTATTAATGTTCGAAGCGCTACGACTGATATATAAAAAGTTCTCGATATTTTCCGTTTTTGAGTAAAATAAAAAAAAAATTTTTAAAGTTCTGGGAGTTCTGTTGAGAGTTCTGGATAGCACCTCAAGAGTTCTAAAATAAATCCTAATGGTAAAATTAAATATTTTTAATACTTTTATTGTTATCGCTGATTTAGTGATTACATTTTGTGAAGTTAGCACCCCCAAGATTCATCAACAGTTTTTAGTTTTATTTGCCGGAACTATTTGTAATATTAACAAGGAACTCGAGAACTCTTCGGGGTGCATTCAGAACTTGAAGAAAACAATGATTTTTTGAAAGATGGGGTGTTAACTTCACAGAGGTACATATATATATATATATTCTACCAAAAACTATTAATGTTCGAGGCGCTACGACCGATATATAA